GTGTGCCTTTCCCCATAAGATTTCCATTGAGAATGGAACCAAAGCTTAGCAAAGTTGTTGCACTAACCATCTCTCATAGCATAAGTATGGATAGCTCTGGCCTTATCTAAACCAATTTGAACCTTTACAAAGTTTTTGTTTGGAGTCAATGGGTGGGCAAAGATTTATGTTTGTTTTTACTTTTTTCCAGACTGGTTTAAATCACTAGACTCCAAGGACTTCCATACAAAATACAAAAGCTTGTCTCCTCATTATAGGTGAGTTCAAATCCAAGCATCTTAGATTATCTAGAGTATTACTTCAGATAACATATCACTTTATGGGACAGCTCCCCAGTTGCTGTACTGCAGTGTATCTCCAATGAAGTCAATGCAGCCATGCCAATTTATACAAGATCAATATGTGGCCCTACACTTGTTATCATACCTTACTTGTGCACACAAGCAAGTTTTCATTTACAAGAAGTACTGACCTGATGATGTTAGAGGTGGGCTTGTAGTCAGACTTTCAGGAGCTGTTGGAACAAAATCAGGTTAAGTGTAAACTTTCTATATAAAGTATTTTGGAGTTTCACATTAGCGTAGGAATCCCGCAAATATTTTTGAGACTGTTTTTGACTTGAATATTCCTCTGAGCCATTCGAAATGTTCCAATTCTCTCCTGGTGAATATCCTACCTCTCTTGCAGCTTTTCCTCCCACTCTGCAAGCTCACCAAGAATTACAACTTCACATCAAGCCCTTTCTCCCATCTCTCTCTCTCTCTCATGCACACAGGATAAATAATTATGTCAAGGCTCTGAATTTAGTCATTGAATACCTAAAGTACCTAGCATGAAATGTGCCTTTAGAATATAGAGCATAAGAGACTTTACACACCAGATGTCTCCCTCCCCTTATGAAGGTAATCAGTAGCTACCTATTAGTATCTCCAACAGAGGCTGAAAATGTCATTTAATCAACTTCCACTTCAATGGATTCAAATTAATTTTTATCCTTTTCCTCACTGAGAGCCTGTTCAGAAACTCATTGAAGTCAATGGGAAGATTCCTACTTATTTCACTGGGATTTGGATCAGGTCTTATCCATTGCTCATACATCTCTTCCCTCTGGGTATCAAGGGTCCCACCACCACTTTTTAATCATATTTATGATGCTTAGATGCAACTGAATCATCAAGCCTTTTAAATTCTGTTCTTAATGTTTGTTTCCACTTACATGAGATCCCACTTTCGGCAATAAGCAAAATATATCATCCATCTTTCCCTTATCTGCCCCCACAAGTAAAGCAGAACATCTAGCTTTCTATGAAGACTAGAACTTCTCACTACCCCTGGTCCGAATGTTGGGTAAAATAACTGTATTTACTTAAGAAATAGCATTATTGGGCCTTAATTTCATTACCTTGAAAGACATTGGTAGGCATCACAAATGATGGACACCATAAATAAAGGATTAATATTATGGAATTTCACTGGGAGTCCACCTTTTATTTTACCCTCTTGTTTTCTTTTTAAAGCGTATATATCACGCTCACACAGCCTTCTGTGAAGATGGCTCTACATGGCGCCCAGTGTGGTTTGTGAATGCTGCTTCCAGGTTGGCTAAAGGAGATCACTTGTGAACAGTTCACAGGCTATTGGTCAAGATTTTCAAAAGTATTTAGGTACCTAACTCCCACTGAGGATTTGGGCCTTCTTCCCTACAGCTTCTGATTATGTAGCCTCTGTTGTGCCAGCTAGTAAAGGCATCTTCTGTAATGGAATTTTCATGGGTGGACTTGTATACCTGCACACATGCCATTGCAGGATCGAGTGTCAACATCTGCAATTCACTTACATGTCAAGGTTTCAAAGAAAGCAAATAATTTTCATAGTTACCTGTGATTTCTATGCTGTTCACATCAATGTTAATAGTCTGCAAAAGGCTAGTTTTATTTGCTTCAATACCTAAAACCAGTTCATTCTTTGCTTTCTCATTAGATATCCACTGTGCAAAGTATAGGTTGAATATTACGATAATGCTGCCATTTCTGCCAAACAGAAAACATCACAGAAGAAAAAAAACAAGTTAATCATATAAAATACCAAGTGAATGCAATATGACATTTTTTAAAATCAAGATTAGATTTTTTTTTTCTAAAAGATATACTCTATTTCAAACAAGAATTATTCTGGTGAAGTTCTGTTGCCAGTGTTTATATAGGAGATCAGACTAGATGATCACAGTGGTCCCTTCTGGCTATAGAATATATGAATCTAACAAGGACCCCATTCTAATAATAGGTTCCATCCACTAACCTCAAACTGTCAGGGGCGGGCAACTAGAGATATGGTGAAAGGGGCAAATTTTTAAAAAGTACAGAACGTCTTAGAAACTTGCGGCCTGATTGTCCTTTCACTTACATTGCTGTATATCAAAAGTAACTCCATTTATGTCAAAGGAGTCAATGGTGTTATACTGGTGTAAATGGAAGGAGAATCAGGACCTGTGTTTTGCTAAACCCATACTGAGTCTTCATTAGGCCTCTTATTTTAGGCTTTATAACAATGACAGATAGCCTTGAAATATCCACATGATAAAACATCATGTAAAGTACTCATTTTTGTGACCCCAAAGTTAAGTATGTTTGTGTCACAGGTGGATTCCATAAGTACTGGGACTGCTCGCATGAAACAATACAGGGTGAAATCGTGGTTTCACTGAAGTCAATGGCAAAACTTCCATTAATTTCTTTGGGGACAGGCTTTCATTTAAAGAGATGCCCTGGTAATTAGAGCAGGGCAAGATTTTCTGAAGAAACGTTATTTCACTAATAAATGCAGATTTGTGAAAACAAAACGTGGTGAATTTTTCTCGACTTTGGCAAGTTGTCTCACTAGAAAAAAAATTCTGAACTTTCAAAATGGTTCGTTTTGACATGTCCAAACTGAAATAGTTTGATTTTGGGGGCTAGATTCACAAGGGAACTTAGGTGCCATTCCCATAAGTGAGAAGATGGTGGTGGTATCCCCTTAAGCCCACTAACAATCACAATCAACTGGACTGTGGGAAACCCAGGTTCAAATCCCCACTCTGGAGATGAAACTTGAACCAAGGTGTCTCATATCCCAGATAGCTGTCCTTATCACCAAGATACCAGGTCTTTCCCATTGAAGCTGTCCCACTTTCTAAAATAATTAAATATTAATTGGAACTGGAACCTAGGTGTCCACCTTCCCAGATGAATGCTCTAATCACCAAGATATAGAGTTGTTTGCTCTCTCTTTGGCCCAATGAATATTTCACTACTGAATACAAAATGGAACAACTTCAACAGGCAAAACTGAAAGAATACCAAATAGCCAGGTGGTTAGGGAATTCACCTGGTACATAGGTTCAAGTTCTTGCTCCAGAGTGGAGATATGAACCCAGGTTTCCCACATTCCAGGTAAATGCCCTTGATATAAAAGAGAACAGCACCCCATACTCCTCCTGTTTTGTGCATGGCCTTAAGTCCCTTATATTTCTTTTGCTTTTATTAAGAAACATTTAAAATTGTCTGCAATTGGGGGGGGGGGGGAGAAACATGTCGTTTAACCTGCAACAACTTTTTCTGACTTTTTGATTCACCAAAAATTGCCCCAAAATTCAGTTTTGAGTCAGCCCCAAACCATTTCCTCCTGATTTTTCAGAACTGCCATCAAACTGAAAATGTATCTATTCACCCAGTTCTATTGGTAACCCCTGTTATTCAGGTCTATACTTATAGCAACATCTTGGTTGAGTTGAATATATAATTTTGCTTACTGGAGAAAAGGACATTTTCTCTCCTTGCTGAAAAACAGCAGTGACCATCCTTATTGCAAAGTATTTGTGCTAGCAGAGTGCCACTGATTCAACAGTGCTCTTTGATATGAGGTGATTAATCCTATCACTGCACTGAGCACAGTTTGCAATATATTAATAGACTAATTTCTTAAATGATTCTGATAACCTCTAGGCCATGCTGAGTAAACAAAAGCTTTTATTGCTATCTTTGTGACTCAGCTGAGTTCCAAGGGTAAAACAATAACCAGATTGCCCAAAAGGGTAAACATTTTTTTATGAAAAGAGTCAACTAGAAAACAATTGCTGAGTCAAAGTAATAATTTAAGTATTTCCACAGTGAACAGGAATAGAGATTATTCCAAAGAATTTAGGGGCCTGATACAAAGTCCTTTGAAATCAATGGCGTCTCCCTGTGACTTCACAGGGGTTTGGCTCTCACTTTAGCTGCACAAAAGGAAAAGAAAAGGAAAACAATCTATTTTGCCATAAAATGTCTAGAGGGCATAAATGAACAGGAATGTATTGGGGGGATGGAAAGAGGAAGCTTCAAACCTCAGGAAAATCAACCCACTTAGGGTAAATCTACACTGCTGCCTGGGGTATCATTTCTGTCTTGGTTAAACTTACCTGTGCTAGCTTTGATTGAGCCAGTGTGCGAAAAATAATAGCCTAGTGACCACAACTATAATCCCACTTGTCCCCCTGGTGCTTGAGTGTCTAGTGCAAGCCACTGCCTATGTCACAGCAGCCATGTCTCCATAGCAACATTATTATTTTTAGCACACTAGATCAATCAGAGCTAGTGTGAGTATGTCTATCTAACCTGGAAATTGCTCCCCGGCTCCAGTGTAGGTCAACCCTAAGAAGAGGCATTTTTTCTAAAATCTGAATGCTTGTCAGGTGCATAAATATTAATTAAAATCTATTGGGGAGTGGAAGGGTGAAAATGAAACATCTCTACATGTTATTTTGAAGCTCACAAAAATAGAAATAATATTTGATATGTAATCTTCTATGATTAGGAAAATGGTTGTGGGAGAATATTTCATGCTCACTAACATTTCCTCTTGTATGCTTATAAATGGAGAAAACAGCTCTTTACAGATATATGAACACCCTACTCTTTTAAATACATATTAATAGTGCAGCTCTGGGATCCTCTCTCTCTCTCTTTCTTTCATTTCAATTTCTTACAGTTGTATTAAAATGAATGAAAATGCAGTGTTGCGTTTCCATGTCTCCTCTCTTTTCTCTACTGAAAGCCTGATTCTCTGTAGTCATTTATGCCAATTCAGAGTCATTTATGCCAATGCAGGGTTTACAATGCTACTAGATCAGAAAAACAGTGTTTTACACGCACTCTGCAATGGAGTAACAGAGAATCAGATGCTTTATTTGATTATTTTGGAAGATTTTGTGGGGGAAAAGTACTATTAGGGGCATAGTAATTACATGCTCCTCTGTCTGCTTGATACAATCCTTGAATGTATGGTACACCCGCAGATATTGTTCAAGAGCATTACTTTCTGCTTCAATAGCACTGATGTCTCCTGCCCTTGTACAAGTTAACATTGTCTGATAACCTGATTTTGAGCCTTTTTTGAACTCTCAGGCCCTGATTCAGAGATCCATCCCTAAGCATGAGGTCAAGTGCTCTGCTGTATACCTTTGAAGCTACATTGAAATGACTGGGACTTGAGCATATCCTGAAGTTGTTTAGTGAATAGGGATGGTCCTGAGCATATGCTGAATCAGGGCCACACTGAAACATGAGTGGACTGGACTGAATTCAAGTTTGGTTAGGCTTGTGGCATAACTGGCATGTGGGATATTGGAAAATAAAGCTAACCATCCTTTAATAAAACAGAGTATACCCCACATGTTTTATACCGTACAAAATACACAAAGCGTGGGTCCGTCTGGGTTATAATAGTAGCCTAATCACTATCACCAAGAAGAGCTGATCCTAAACTGTTGTACATTGATGTAGCTTCATTGGTGCTAGGTCAGTTTAAACCAGCTGAGGATCTGTCCCTCAATCCTGAACTTGTCTTTTTTACTCTCAGCCACCAAGGCCTGGGAGCACTGTGGATGAAGCACACTCAGTAGAGCTTGGAAAAAGGCAAACACATTTTCTGTGAATTTTTTTTACAGATTTTAAAAAACATTTTTCATTCAAATGTTGACATTTTTTGGCCTTGGAAGAGAAGCACTGTATATTGCTTGACGACCTTTGGCCAAGGCTTGGCATTGCATCAATAGGTTCTGAGAAGAAGAAGTATCCAGAGGAATATAGTTACACTGTGCTTTCCACAAAGTGTTCCACAAGGGGAGAGATGAAATGTCCCAACGGACCCCTTTAAGAGATAGAATCCTTTTTATACACTGTTGACATTCATAATCTAATGAGGATTTTTAAACTTAAAAATTATGAACTATAGTATATACCCACTTGAACTGCAAAACTTCAGAGTTCTTATATTCATTCTTCAGCTGACTTGCTTGATAGATTTCATTTATCTATACAAAAATATGAAAACTTCTAAAGAACTACAATAGTTAGAAATATACACAATTACACATTACAATTATGATTTTAACACTGCACATGTTTTTTTTTCCTAAATGAAATATGCTCCTTGAGGTGGCTGAAATTGACATTTTTGTCAGTTTCACTGCTGCTATTCAAATAACAATGGTTAAAGGGATAAGAATCATGTCAATTTCAGTCACCAGCTGCCAGAGCTCCTAGATAGGCAGGCCATGGCATTGAGGACAGGGACCAAGGGATCTCAGGGTATGTCTACACTACCCACCAGATCGGCGGGCAGCGATCGATCCAGCGGGGATCGATTTATTGTGTCTAGTCTAGATGCGATAAATTTACCCCCGAGCGCTCTCCCGTCGACTCCTGTACTCCAGTGCCGCGAGAGGCGCAGGCAGAGTCGACAGGGGAGTGGCAGCAGTCGACTCACCGCGGTGAAGACACCAGGGTAAATCGATCTAAGTATGTTGACTTCAGCTACGTTATTCACATAGCTGAAGTTGCATAACTTAGATTGATTCCCCCCACCCCACCCCAGTGTAGACCAGGGCTCAGGGTCCTGTGCCAGCTGAATCCCCAGGCAGGTTTCTGATGGAACCATCTCATATTTGACGAATCTGCATTTTCCAAAAATGTTTTGTCAGAAATTTCCTAACCAGTTATAACCGATATTAGATGCCTTTAAGAAATCAATACAGTTAATGGCATGTTATCTGTTATATCCTCTTGAATTAACTCTAGACTCTTACCAATTGTTGAACATCAAAGGCAAGAGCCTTGAAGTCAGCTGATGAGTTGTCTTGTAAACCAGGGCTGAATGATGCTCCTGACAGTATTTTAAATGTTCCTGTGGATGCATGACTGTTTCCGTATACTTCAGTTGTATTATTTAAAGAAAAACAAAACAGTGGAAGTGTTGAATTAAGTAGAAATGTAAGCAAGAGGTTGTATTTGACTTTTCCAGTAAAGATCATAATAAAATATTGCTACTCTCTCCTTTCACATTCTATTCAGAGCTTTTCTTTGCATTGTACTGATTTCAAAAGAAAAGTCAGATTCTTTTCAGCTGCTTAAAGGACACTATTTCACAATGCTAACAACTTTAAATCCATTCTATTTTTTCTAATCCCATTACTTTCAATTATATCTTCATTTCAGAGCTTCCTGGAACCACTATTACCTGCTGAAAGAGGCAATGACCGGTCAGCTTCCTCCAGCTAGAGGGACTGATACAAGGGAAGCATGGTGGGCAATGAGCTATTAAAAGTTTGTCAGTTCTTGGACTGCAGGCACCAAGATCTCACACTGTTGGCTTTCTACAATTAAAAGCTCTGTGAACTTCTAAATACACGTACACCCCTTTGAGAGGCAGCTTTGAAAATACTACTTTCACTGAACTAATTATTATATGGTATGTGTGACTGACCTTTTCTACCAGAACGTACATGATGGTGTGGATGAATTTATAAAAAACAAATTCAAACAGGAATTAATTCAAGGAAAATCCTATGGCCTGAGATATGCTGAAGGTCAGATTGGAGGATCACAGTGGTCCCTTGCGGCTTTATAATCTATGGGGAAAAAATATGTGAAAGTAGGTAGTAAGGGCTAGATCCAGAAAAGGACAGACACCTCACTGCCACTTTAGGCACCTAAATCCAACACTTAAGCACCAGTACAGTCTTCAACCCCCTAGCCAGCTGCTGCCCAACTCTGTAGGCATCTAAAGTCTCTAGAGCAGCTAAATTTCTGCTGTTAAAGTGCCCATGGTGCCTACAAATCTGCTAGTGAGCATGCACACAGCTGCCTCAGTCTAGGCACCCAGGTGCCTCTCTCACATCTAAGTCCCAGCAGGCTCTTCAGACTAGATGTTTCCCCTCCTATCTCACTTGCCAGGACCCAATCTGGTAGTACCAAAAAAAATTAGCTTCACTGCCATATGCCTCTATATAATGATTTTGCAAAAAGTATTTTAAAAAGAAATAAGAAAGTTTAAAATGATTCATTTCTGCACTTTCCCATTGTCATTGAAATTGACACATTCCTGTGACAGGTTTTTATTTTAGTAAAACTGCATTTTCCTATGGAAAAAAAATTCACTAGCACTGACGGTGACTGTAACCTACTTTGCACAGTCAGGCTCTCGATAGTCAATGTGCCAAGAACCTCCTACTACCAGCTGAGTGCCCTCACATCTCACTATCCACAAGGTTGGGAGATGAAGGCACTGTGCAGGATGGCACTGCAAATCAAAATATTACATAAACTAGTAACATTATTTGTCTCTGAAAAAATGTGTTCCCAAGACGTGCTGAGAATCTGCAACACTACATGGAAGTCAGTACCTCACAGGATCAAGCCAGAAGCTTGTAAAATAAAATGGTATTCCGATAAAGGACATTTACAAAAATGATACAGCCTACTTTAATGAAAAACAAAACAAAATAAAACAAAAATACCCCAACTAGTGCTTTTAATTTTTCCTCTGACACATCTGATCAAATATCATAATCTTTACTATTTAGATTAAAGTCCAGGGGCCTGACCGAAAGCCCACTGAAGTCAATAAGAGTCTTCCCATCAACTTCAATGAACTTTGGCTCAGGCCTGAAGTGCTTAAATTTTTGCTTTTCTTGTTTGTACCGATTATCAGTGGGAAAAAAATGGTAATGAATCTTTTTAAAGCAACAGTGGTAACAGCAGAGCATGAAACATAAAAAATAATGACAATGAAACAACAGTTGGCTTCCAAATATGAACACTTACCATAGAGCTCTTTTAAAGGTTAAATCTTGACTACTAACCTTGTTGCGATTCCTTGATTAGTAGCCATGAAAGTGTAATTAATCCAGCACAAACACATACAAAAATTGCAAGCAGAGCAGCAATCCAGATTTCAAAGTCACTAAGAGGGATACTTTTCTTAGATAATGATTTTTTCAGATTCATTTCCAGCTAGGAAGTTTATATCAATTAAGAATTGTCACAAGAAACATATAAGCATGACAAAGAGGGCAGTGATCTACATGAACAGATATTTATAGGAGAAATTTGTAAATTAATTGCACAATTAATCTTCATTTACATTCAGTCAGTATGATGTAGTTTTTATATCATTCCTGAATGGTTATATCAGTGTACAGTATATGCTGGTATAAACAGAAAATAAAATTCTCATTAAGGAAGATGATAATGTCTAAGATAAAAAATACGTATGCAAACAGCTACCCAAAGTCGTAAATGTTAATCATCAGCTTTATAATTACCTGTCATTTGGCAATTTTAAATTTAAAATACATGTTATGAATACAGTTTATTGCGGTTTGGTTTACTATTTTAGGAGTAAGTATGTAAGTATGTGGCCTGGTCACAGGCCTTTGCATACCTTGCTGAGTCATAGCAGCCATTACTTACAGGCTGTGTTGAACATTTACAGGAAGTTTCAGAGTAACAGCCGTGTTAGTCTGTATCCGCAAAAAGAAGAAGCTTATGCTCTAATAAATTTGTTAGTCTCTAAGGTGCCACAAGTACTCCTGTTCTTCTATTTACAGGAAGGTTAAGTTCTTCCAGGGTCCATTGTCTTTGTTGATGGGCCATTAAGACTGTCTGGCTTCTTCATTGTTGTACCTGAAAGGCTCGTTGTGGGTGTCACCCAGAGTAAGCACATTTGAAATACAGATACATAGTCAATATTCCTAACTTTAGAAACAAACATGATACATGCATACAAATAGGATAATAATATTCAGCAAATCATAACTTTTCCAATGACACCTCACATGACCCGTCTAGTACAAAATACATCATAATTATACCATCATCATATCATAATATCACTGTGAAGAATATGTGAAGAATATGGTCACATCCTTCATCTGGCAACTCTTCCATCAAAGTCATCAAGAGTTCTGCCTGCATAAAGTTTAAGTGAATATTGAGTGAGGACTTCTGGATTTCTAGCTATATAAATATTTGCACCACTACCATTTTGCACATTTGAACAAGAATAAAGAATCACAGTTGGAGACTTTTTTTGAATTTTGAATTTATGCCCACACAGTGAATTGATGGACTCATTATATGAGAAGTAGCAAAAGAGGCTGCAGTAATCTACAGCTCAACTGCTTTATGTTTTATGATGCATGGCATACATAGTCAAGCTATGTATATGCTTGGATTTACTCAATTTTGGCCAAGGGCATAAACTTGAAGAGCTGTCTCCAATATTAGTCATATTGAAAAAGAATAAAAAGATAACCAATGCTTTTTTCAACTGGAAACCTTCAAGACTTTGGAGATAGACATATTTTGACATCATGTTTAATTAGTGGTGGTATCATACCAGTTGAATGACTTCTTGTACAGTGTCCAAGCATGTTCCCCTGCTCAGATGTTTCTGCAGGCACTCACCCAGTTCATTACTACAGAGAAAGCACTTAAAAAATCCCTTCAAGCATCCATTTTACAATATGATAATTCACAATTAAAATAGTGAATGAAGCCCTTTTGCCTGCCAAGCGAATAGTGTTACTGCACCAGCTCTTTTCTCCATGTAATCTCTTGGATGATTGTAATCAAATAAAGAGCCAAATTAGAAAGCCTGGGGAAAGCTTAGTCAAGCACATAAATTAATCTTTTAACTGAAGTTGGAAGAGCACAATCTCATTGTGACACTGTCAGACCAGGTGCCAGCACTTGCCAAGGCTTTAGGTCTCAGCTGAGCACTGGCAAATTCATTGCTGGAAACCAGTCTGTTTCAACTCTGTGTTAGTATGGTTAACATGGGTATTGAATGAATAACAATGTGTTTAGACATTATGAAATGCTTGTAAGTTGCTGCATGAATTAATCTCACTTATAATATCTTTATCACAGGCTATAAGGTGATATTTAAGTTTTTGTTTTGTAACTTTAAAAAATGTTTGCTCTGAAACTGTGAACTCAGCCCGGAGGGATCGTTTCCTGCCCATCAAGAAGGGCTATCAAAACTAAATCGGCTGTAATTACCAATTCTGTGCATTTTCCAAATTGCAAGTTGCAATCATTTATAATTCACCAACAACCTAATTATTTACTGAATAAATTAATGGGTAATTTAAAATAATAAATGAGAATGTTATGATCTATTGGTAAACAATTTGCAACCAGAAAAAAGATGAAATTAATCAAATTATAAGTTACAAATTATTTGCTAAGCTGTAGTTTGGTGAATGAATAGAGATGTCTTGATTGAGCTTTTTTGTTCACTAGCAATGTCAGAAAAAAATAATTTTGGGTCGATTGGAAACCAAAATTCTTCAGAATTTTCCTCTTCCTACTTGGTTTCTTTGAATGATACTCAAAGTCAACATTTGAAAGTCAAAATGTTTTATTTTGGAAATGTTGAAATGCATCTTTTCTGATCTTTTTTCCCTCTTTTCTTTGACTGAAATAATTCAGTGAAACCAACACAAATTAGCAGTATGTTTAGGTTGTCCTGAATCTGCATTTTTAATCAAAAACAGTTTCAGCAGAACAATTTCACCCAGTTTGAGCTATGAACAATATATTTTTTAAATTATTATAATTTAAAAGAGTACAATATTTAACTATTATATGGGCAAATGTTGTACCTGTCCCTGTATTCAAAAATAGAGAGGAATGGACAACTTTTTTCTAATAAATGACAGTGTTATTACATATAAATATTGTTTGACTGATAGCCTTTCATTATCAACTCCATAGTCTCAGTAACCAAATTCTAGTTCAGGTCATTTCCTAAGAAATATATTAGAGTGCAATCCCAGCAGATTGACAGTACAATCACTTTATATTGTGCCAACATCATTTGCAGACCAAGCACAATTTACAGTCTCATTGTGATGTTTTTATTTCCCTTTTTAATCATACTATTGCATAGGGCAAAGAGGTTGCTGACACAGAAAGAGGGGAAATGTTGTATTCAGATAATTCCTCTAATACTCAGTCTACGACAAAACACACTCAAAGCCTGACATTCTGTTAATCCGTCTGTGGGAAAATGATTTGGTTACATTCACAGGAATGCCCTCCATTAACAAGATGAAGTGAGACTCAGCTTTCTTGTGGCAGGTGTTTTCAGATATGTGAGTGCATTTTGCTGTGCAGGCTGCTGTGGAAAGCACTGGAAAACTGCATCAATACATCTGCAATGAAAACCTAGTAACAGACCCTTAACTTATTTTTGCTGATGCTTATGAACTGGCATTTTAAAACAGAACTCAGGCATATATATGGCTTCCTAGGTTTGTTATACTGGTAAATTCTAGCAATTGCAACTTTAAGAAACACGGACTTAAATGACTTTCCATCAAGCTTTACAATTGCAGAACTTAATGAGATTCCAAATGAGGACTGTGGCATATTTATTGTCAAACCTCACATGTGGGAGAAAAAAGGCTCACATGATTCTTAATTCCATCCACAGCATGAGTTACCTGCCTTGTTTTTGGTAACTTAAAGGACTATGTGACTCCTTATTTGTGTCTCTCTTATGCAACCTGTTCTCTCCACCGTGGCACAGTTAGCTTGGGCTTGGTATTGCCTGCATGGCAATGACATAACATACCTCGCTAGCATTCTATAAAATTCTGTTGCCCCTACAATTTCTTTTCTTGATGCCGGGTTATCCAACTTCATCAGCAATCCAGCAGAGGAGTTACGTCATTGTTGGCCTGTATGTGATATAATACGTCATATTACTGGAAAACATTTGTCAATAATCCATTGTGGAACAACTGTTGTGTTCCTAGTCTTTTAGGACACAAACTTCCATCCAATAATTTGTCTGATTTTATGAGTTTCTCAGCACAATTTAAGTTCCACTGAGGCTGATATTTTACTCATGTGATAGCGTACCAAGGAGCAGTGCCTGTGTTTGCTGGTCAGAGCCGGCATCTTGGACCAAGAATGTAGGAAACGCCATGTCTAACTATTGATTAAACATTGAGAGATAAGATCCATGGGTCTGCTCATGTTGGGAGAGCCACAGGCAATGGAAAGACCCACTCATGGGCATACCCAAGAGGAGTATGCTTTAAGATATTATCCTAGAACTTTCACATACAAGATTGCTAAATAATAGAAGGTTTTTTAGGGGCACTGGCTGAACAGCTGCACAAAATTATACTTTGATGGGTAACTGAATGCAATGAAGTAACTGATACATTTTCTTTATAAGGAGGAGAATGCTGAGGATCTAAAGAATGAGGTTTGAGTATATTCAGTTTCATATCACATAAGCCAATATCTGAGCTGTACCATGTTTTGTGCATTCACAATTTAATTAAACTCTGGTTTTCAATAACCCTATGATAAAAAATATAGTCTAAACCCCCTGAAGACATCATACATTTTCTGAAGAGGGTTCAGAAATAGGAACTGAAATTAAGTATCCAGTGAAATGACCCAGATGGATTGCTGGGAACTAATCTGTTGCAGTGTGAATTGATCCATATCAGGGAAATAATTAAAAACACACTGCTGTCTTAAGAATCTGTAAGTCTTAGACAACTCAGGTGAAAATAAAATCTGCACATAAAGCAAAACTGGAGACATTGCTGAAAGACAATAAAAAAAGTAGCTTCCTTAACTCTCTGTGCTCAACGGAGGCCAGCAGGATCTTGCCAGCCTTGGTTGAAGTGCATTGCCAGAGCTGAGTGTGGAAACTTTCATTACACCTGGCCACACTTTGCCCAGCTCTAGGCAGCTTCTCTTCATCATTCATTTTCTCTAATACTAGTTCCAAAATTGTGCCCTCACACATACAGCACTGGATAGACATGTCTCAGAAAAGGGCCACAATTAGAGACCCTTCCTCACATGGAATAACACCTTACTCTGTGATGAATTCCACTGACTTCAATAGCACTACTTGTGGAACTAAGTGCTTCTCGCTGTAAGTAAGGCTGTCAGAATTTAACCCCAAATAT